ACACACACACACACACACACACACACACACACACACACTTACTTCAGCAGCTGACCAGTAACAGACTGCTGACAAGGACAAATGACCCCATCTCACTGCTCCACAGTGAGCCAGGTGATGATGTAGTGCAGCTTATTAGCTGGCTAATGTATTGAGGTGTGAGAGAAAAGAGAAAAAAGGACGGGCGTTCTTTACACAGATCAATCAGAACCAGGTTTTTTAAAAGCAGCTCGGACTCTGATGTCAGAGGCTTGTATGTTAGGAATAGATTATTTTCTTTATTTAGTTTATCACCAGTAAAACAAAAGCAACCACAGTCACATGCACAGAGCCAAAAGTATGTGGACAGTCACATTAGCTCCGTCAGCAGGCATTAATCAGATTCTCTGAGCCTTCACTCTTCTGGGAAGACTTGTTTGTGGGGATTTTTTCCATTCAGACACATTAGTGAGGAAGGTCGAGCCTCGCTCTCCATCAGTGCTTCTGTTCATCCCTAAGGCTCTTTACTCCTCTACCTACAATCATTTTGTTATGGACCCATTTGTCCAACACCAAACTTGCTTTATCGTTGCAGTTTTTAACCTTAAGATTTATCTTAGGAGGTGCTAGCTTGAAACGAGCCCTGTAAGTATAAGAATCTCAACTTGAAAACAAACGAATTCAGCCTTTAATAGTTTCAGAGCCAAAATGAACAAACTGGGATCTATGAGTCAGAGAGAGAAAATTCTGATGTACAGCATCCCCACCACACTGATGTGTGAAAAACTCAACACACATTGACACATCTGCCCAATCAAACTGGAATATTAAAGTAAATAACAGCCTTTAACAGTGAGTCAGTGACACTGTCACTGACTCACTGTTAAGAGCATTACCTGAAAAAAAAAGGAGTTACTGTGTAGCACAGAAGCACACTAATTTTAATCCTTCAAAAAATGAGGTTTGCATATTAATTTAAGACACGGGGGTCCGCTTATTTTTCCCATGGGCTGCACATTCAAACTCAAAATTACAGAGAGGAAAAATTAGATGTGCAAAAGAAGAAAAGAATGTATTACTGAAAGATAAAACCCACCTGGTGTGGTGGTGGTGCATTTTGCAGTTAAATTCCTGTCCTGCAGCAACTCCGTCAGTATTTGTGGAGGTATTTCCATATTTCAGTTTCACACCTTCGAGGTTCTGGCTTACATGCAACCACTTGATGTGAATTTCTGCTCTGTTGCCATCTAGATAACAACAGATTTGCAGCTTTTGCTGATTTATCACAGTTAATTTCCGTATCACAAACAGATTCCATCTAATTGCAGAGACCACAAGTTCTTTGCACACAGTCGCACATTTCAACAGTCCGTGGGGAGCGACTCACTTTCAAATCAGGCCTTGTGTAGCTGGTAGAGGAACTCCGGTTTTTGGCTTAATTGTGGTAATGCTGCACAGTCGGTGTACTGGTTATGCATTACCGGGTAATGCAGGAGCCATTTTGACATTGTTTAGCCTTCCGTTGGGAGTCCCTCAGTGTTCGAAAACAAGAGAGGTCTAGTATTACAGTGAGGCGTTCAGATTTTCATATCCCGTTGTTTGCATGCTGGAAACAAAGAACGCGTGTAATGGACTGAGCAGCATTTTATTCAGTTCAAACACAGAGTTGGATTTTAAAAGCAGACAGTGGAGTCGGACTACATTTATAAAAGCTGGTCAGTGTCAGAAAGCCTGTAATGTGTTTTTAGACAGAGGGTGGGCAGGAATTAGTAACGAGTTGATGCACATCGACTGCAGGCCGCGGGTCAGTTTTCACTCAGAGCTGGATATTAGTGCAAGCATTCAGTGGATATTTTCACGTCTCCTCCAGGCCGCTTTGATGATGGCTTGTGGAAGTGACTGAGTGCATACAGAGGAGATTAGACAGTCTTTACATCTTTTTCTGTTACAGCTGTCCTTTAACCTATCCTTCCTCTTTAATTCCCCCACGTTTGATGTGGTTCTCCTTCCTAATTCCTAATAATTGATGAGCTGCTGCTCATTTAAGCTTTTGTGAGTCCTGCCTTCTACTGCATTTGTTTGCATAGACGTTTGTGGTCAGACACGCTGACATTTCAGAATAAAACCACACAAACAGACAAATGCATAAATTTTCCTGCTGACATTTTAAAAATGAGCTGGAAAAAACACACACACACACAAATCACAAGCCTTTTAGCCAAAAACAGCAAATGTGATTAGACTGATTTTTTTCCCCTGTGCCTGTTTATATGTGTTTGTGTTTGTGTAATCCTCCTCGCATGTCTCAGATCCCTCCTTGCATGCATCCTGTGCTGTGACTGCCTGGACCCCCTCCACCCTCAAGACCTGGATCCTCCCCTTCCACCCTACCCCTGTTCTACACGCCCTTCTCTAACTCCCCTGCAGGGAGAGGTGGAGAGGCCTCAAACCACCCTCCCGCTTTCTCCTCTTGGTCACTGGGCTGTAGCTGTCAGGGACCCACAGGGAGCGGAGAGTTTGGGTGATAGGGGCAGCGTAGCTGGACTCTCTTGCAGTACTTTGGCCCCCTCTGAGCTGATGGACATGCGACAGCTCCTCCGAATCCCTAGGAGACAGCATCGATTGCTGGACACGTTCTGTCCGTGTGTAGCGGCTTGTTTAAGAAGACTGAACTTTAATAGATAATATGCTCAGCTATAAACTGCTGGAACATTCTACTTCATTCTTATTCTCTTTTTTTGAGGGTTTCACAGCACAGCTCTGTTACCAACCACTTATGATTTGGCTTCGATTATTTCAGAAGTGTCTAAATAGGGAAGAAAACATAAAGGGCCAAACATATAGTTCCTTTATATGAGTCAAATGATTAGGAATGTAGATGTCACTTACAAGGAAAAATGTGACAAATAAAAACTAGACAGGAGAAAAAAACAATTAACTGAAACTATAATTGGAAATTACGTTTTAGTCTTAAATCTTAATTTTAATGTGCTCAGATTGGTCAACAGAGCAGACATGAGGCTAAACGACATGTTTAATGACATTAAAACTGTAAGATGTCAAGTTTGGCTTGTAAAGCTTGAGTTTTGACTCATGTGACACGTTGATGATAATACTGCATTTCTTTTCTTTGGGACTCCAGACTTTTATTTGATGCTCTTTTATTAAACACGCTTCCTCAGCAATGTTCGTCATCCCCACCTCCCATCAGTCATGCTGTTTTTGTTGTTGTGCCACAGTAAAGGTACAGTACACTCGAAGTAAAAGAGAGCTTAATAACAACATCTATCAAACACACCAGGTCACAAAGTCACGCTTCGCCTTCTCTCTCCAGTCGGCAGATGCGAGCGTCCATGGGCCGCAGCATGCTGAAGAGTTCCAGCGTGAGCGGAGAGATCTACACCCAGGAGCGCACAGACGGCAGCCAATCAGACACGGCGCTGGGCACGGTGGGCAGCGGCAGCAAGAAGAGACGCTCCAGCCTCAGCGCGCGGGTGGTGGCCATCGTTGGCAACCGTCGCAGCCGCAGCACGTCGCAGATCAGCGGCCCCGGTGAGTCGGCGGTTTCAGGGATTTGCTGGAATTTCATAGGACTGTATTTTTAAAAAAAACTTAAAACTAAAGATTTTGGACCATGTTAGTTTTTTGGAAGCAGACATGACAATATTTAGAAAAGAGGGTGGAGATACCTAACATCCATAACATCCATCTGCTGTATGTCACTTTCCAAAAGCGTTCTCTAATCTGATTCCATCCTCTGCTAACCTGCATTCTTTTTTCCATTAAAGGTACAATATGTAAAGTTTAATTAAATGCATGATGTCATCTGCAAGATCTGACTTCTTGAGGAATGTTAATGAGCGAGGAAGTCTCTCACGCCTCAGAATGATATTTTAATAATGCAAGAAGTCCCAACCTGATTGAAGAGGGTTAATATGAGGAAGCCCGCTGGCTCTGTGGACACACACTGCATTACTGTGCTAATCAGCTCACTGAGATCCTTTCTGCACTTTCTCAGAGGTGTGCAGAGGGTGGCAACATATCCAGTATATGGAAAACATCAACTGTAATGCCTGTTCCAAAATCCGAAGTAACCAGTTCAGACCAGCTGCACTTACATCCTTTGTCATGAAAATCTTTGAAAACATGACGTGTGCTTAATTGGTGATAAACTAGATTCACTGCGGTTTGCTTGTCTAGTGGGCAAAGCTCTTCATTCTAGACAGCGCATATAAGAATCTTGAAAACCAAAATCTTACATGGGAGGTTGATTTGCAGATTTTTCTTCCACGTTCAATGAGATGCAGTCCCGACATTACCCGATCACATTTATTGTTGCTTTTCATTTTTTTAACTGACAGAGTTCAGTGGGCTTTTGGAAATGCCTGCATGCCCAATCCTATTATCTCAAACTCTGGCTCCCCACAAGGCTAAGTCTTTCTCCTCTGCTTTTTATCATGTGCACAGACAGCTGCACGAATTCTCAGTGGGGCAGATTTCTGGTCAAGTTTTCTGATGACACTGGGCTGAAAGTCAGAGCACATTGGTGCTTTGCCTGCATTTGTCAAGTGACAAACTTCTTGCCTTTAATTTGACTTCAACTAAGGAATTAGTGAATTTGATGCAAGCAATCAAAAAGCGTGGAGACAAAACCCAAACGCAGACAGACTCAAAGAAAGTGAAAAGACGCCTTTAATTTTATAGGTGTAGAGTACCAAAAGAGTAAATACTCACTCCAGAGGTAACCAAGCAAACTGGACAGAGCTGAAAGTAATTAAAACAACAAGGCAAGTAAAATTAAATACAAAACACAAGTAACAACCAGCTACCAAAATAAAACAGGAAATGGAGACTTAAGATGCCAAAGGACACCGGGGTGGTTAGACCAACTTTAGCACAAACGTTAAGAACAGAAACAATTCAAACACTAACAGAAACCACATTACAGAGGTAATAAGAGCTCAAAGGGAGGCAGAGGTCTGGGGATCCCCAAAGGTTTTTGTCATATGACTCTATACTTTTCCAGATTCTTCATTTTTGCCTACAAAAGGACATGCAAAGTGCAAACCTTGATTACATTATCTAATTTAACCAAACCCAGGAGTCTAGGTGATTTCTCGTGTTGGTTTTCTCTAAAGAAAATATGGTTAAAACAGCAGCTGCACCGTTAAACTACTGTGTGCGATCACTTCGACTTAGAGAATGCAGGTTTGAACCCTTAAGCTACAGCTAAGCTAATAACAACCACATCCATACAGAAATATTCATTGCATTTTGTCCCGAGGTACAGACTGTACCCAAGCACCGCAAATTGAAAGTGTCCTTTTGTTCTGTAAAAGACAAACTTCTGCTGCTGTCGCTGGCCCAGCGCTCGTCATAAAGACAAACAACCACAGCTCGGCTCGCGGTCACACAACAGAGTGTGGCTCGTCCAAGCCCAGCATCCACTTCCACCACCGGGGCATGTACGATGAAAGCCAAATGCTGTACTTCTCTTCTCTGTAGAGGGCATAAAAAGCTATTAGAGAATATTAGGCCTTCAGGGGGTCGCTCGCCCACTGCCACTGATGTAGAGAGGGGAGAGAGGAAGTAGAGAAAGGACGAACATCAGCCTAATGTAAAAAAGTCTCTCTTGGTCATGATGGATGATGCCGAGTGCAGGTAAGAGAGGCTCACTTGTATTTTCTAAACTATTTACTGTGAGATTTTAGACACAGGATAATGGGAGGCTCAGAAATGTTGTTTTCCAACATCATGAGTCAGAAGGCAGACGCGCCCCTGTCCGAGATGCCACACAGTGGGGTTTTTTGGCTGTTTTTCTGCCCAACAATTTCCTGTTTACTGCTGGTGAACAGATTCTACAGAACATGGGCGCAACTTTGACCGTGGTTCAGACAGCGAGATCAAACAGTCCTGAACTGGATCTGTGGGCTATCTTGTGATATTCAGCTTTGTCTAACTTATGAATGGTTTACTGTTTAGGCCACTGAGTGAACTCTGTCCTCTGAAAATGCAGAAACATTATTCTAAGTTAGACCAAACTCCAAAACCACAACAGCAAAATCTTTGTGTGAATCCTGATACTCTGGGATTTTCCACCTTCTAGATGAATCACTTTGTGGGGTCATTTGAGTAATCACTCATGATACGGGACTACCAAGAATAATAATATCTTTATTTAAAAACAGTAGCACCTTTCAAGAACAAGTTGCAGTTTTCTTTACAAAGGCAAGAGCAGTGCACGACTGCACATTTCCTTCAAGGCTTAAAATGTTCGTGTAAAGCGTGAACTGAGTCTGAGTCTCCGGATATTTGGATGCGATCTATACTTAAAAACATTAAGATAATGTCTCCAAACTTTTCTCACGTCATTTTGATGTGCATTTGTTGTGTTGTGTTTTTAAGGAGCACTATAATTAAACCATTACCTAAAAAGCTCTTATTTGATCCATCTGTCTCCATCTGGCTAATTATAGGCCAATTTCTAACCTTCTTTTTATTTCAAAGATTCTCCAAAGAGTAGTTGTCAAGCAGCTGGATGATGATCTAGAGGAGCATTAAAACAGCTATAGTGAAGGTTACAAATCATCGTTTTATGGCCGTTGACAGTGGACTCCTCTCTGTGCTTGTCCTGCTCGTCCTCAGTACAGCACACACAACTGATCCGAAATTACAAACTCAGACGCACCACTGGTGTTTTGTTTGAATCCTACATATCTCATAAATTTAGTTTTGTTGATTTAAACGAGGAGCGTTCCACAGATCTCAATGTTTGGACCACTATTTTTACATTATACATGTTTCCCCTCAATAGTGTTACAGAGCACTGGATACATTTTCATTGCTATGCAGATGATACCTAAAGCCAAATGACACAAATCCATCCATCTTAGCCATCTGCTTCTTAATTCAGTTTTATTTGTATATATTGTAGGTCAAAGACACTGCAATATTAGTTATAGAAACAAATATGATCAAATGTCCCCATATGAGCAACACGTGGCAACAGCGGGAAGGAAGAACTCCCTTTTAACAGGAAGAGACCTCCAACAGAACCAAGCTCAGAGAGGGGCGGGGCCATCTGCAAACGCAAACCATGAACAATATAAAACGTGCAGTGGTGCCATATAAATAAAAATATCCTCTGCTTTGTTCATGTTTTAATTGTGGGAGGGGAATGTATCACTCCTAATTGTTGTAAGTATCTATAGCTTCAGCCTAACAACTTTCCTGTGGTATCGGTTTTAAAGAAAAGAGCCATTCCTTCACTGGAGTCTGTTATCAAAATATTGTCTGCTTGATGATTCTTCCTCTCGCTCTCGTTTACCTCCAGAGGGGAAGAGTAAGAAGGAGAAAGGAGCGTCCATCCAGAGGAGCACGGAGACCGGCATGGCCGTGGAGCTGACGAGGAACATGAGCCGGCAGCCCAGCAGAGAGTCCAACAACGGCAGCATGAACAGCTGCAACTCTGAGGGGAAGTCAGTAAACCCGTCCTTCTGCTACTCGTCATCTGCACTCTCTGTGTCACAAAGACGTCCTGAATGAAATGAGTTAGAGTGACAGTAATGACTGCATGTCAGCATGTTCTGAGGGAGACATCCATTCCCGCCTGCGGGTATTTCTGTATGTGTTGGCCGACTGAGAGTAAACACAGTCTAATATAACGCGCACGCAGTTTAAAAATGAGTCAGCGTGGAGAGTGTGAGGCGACGATAAAACCAAAACTCAGACAGAGTCAAATTAAGACCGGCTGTTTTCTGTCGCTTGGACAATCACGTAGATATTTTTTCTTGTTATAAATAATGAGTGCAAGTGAAATTCTCCTGGAGGCAGCAAAGTGAATCCACCACATGTGCTGACTGAGTGGGGCCATCAGCAAGACTGATGACACATTTGTATATAGGTTGGTGATTTTTAGAGTTAATAATGGGCTGTTTTGTGTTTTCTGTGGTAGCTTGATCTTTTCTGGAGTGAATCTAGGTGCCAGCAGTCAGTTCAGTGACTTCCTGGATGGACTCGGACCAGCTCAGTTAGTGGGAAGACAAACACTGGCTACTCCTGCCATCGGTACAAAACCTCTTCTCTCTTCTTTTGAATTATTTGGGGTATTTTTTAAAGCTTTATTTGTGCATGCATGGATAGATGTTGTAAAGGTTTTTTTGCCTTTAACAATGAATCGTGAAAATGCCAGAAAAAGTCAGAAATCATTAGTATTGTAATGTTTTTGCTACTTTACTTTGTATTTTTGTGTGTCTTGAGTATTTCTAGCATGAATTTCTCTGACATATTTTGGATATTTCTGGTATTTTATTTTAAATGTTGATTGTGCCATTCATCCTCTTCTCTTGGTCGTGAGGCATCAATCTAAGCAGACAATCCCAGTCTTCCATCTTCCCAGCCTCTCCTCCACTTCTTCAGGTGGGAAGACGTTCCCGAGTCAGCCGAGAAATGTGATCTTTCCAGCATGTCGTGGTTCATTTCATACTGGGCCACAGACTGCCCCAGTGCAAGTTGGAGGTCACTGCTTGATAAAGCCAGCGGAGCTACATCATCTACGAAAATCAAGCACGAGATCCTCAGGCCACATAGCCTTGAGAAATTCAGGGAAAATCTCATTCGCCCCATTCACTGTGTCCACTGCAGAAGGTCTGTCAGTGGGGCTGAGAAGATCCTTGATGTATTCCTCACACCACCAAACTATGTCCTGAGTTGAGGTCAGCAGAGTTGCATCCCTGCTATAAAAAGTGTTTGCAGGGAGCTGTCCACGCCACTCGAGTCACCTGACGATTTGCCGGACTTGCTTCAAGGTCGACTAAAAGTCCTGCTCAATGGCCTCGCTGAGCTCCTCCCATACCTGAGTTTTTTGGTACTGCAAGAGCTGCAATCCACTTGGCCTGTTGGTACCTGTCAGCTTCCTCTGCTCACCATGCTTGATAGAATCCCTCCCACTGCTTGATGGCTCCTTTAACCTCTGCTGTTCATCTGATTCAGGGATTACCGCCACACTAGGGTCCGCTTTCCACAGAATGCTTTTAAAGTTTTGCTCAAAGTGAGAGCTGAAGAGCTTGACACTCTGGCCTTTGCCAAGTTCACCCTCACTGTCCAACATCTTCCATTGCCACCTGATGCAACTCACCAACAGGTGGTGAAGTGCAAAAATGAATCACTGACCTGCGACGCAGGGTGTCCTGGTGCCACGTGGACTTTTGGACACGCTCATGTTTGAACATCGTGTTCAATTTGGAGAAACTGCGGTGCAGCCGGTCCCTCCCATTCACACCCTTCTAGATCATTCTGTCATTGCCCATGTGAGCATTTAAGTCCTCCAGTAGGACAATGCAGCAATGTTCAGCACATGAGTGCACACGACAATCAGGACATAGGGAGGGAGAAAGAGAGACTGTTTTCATGTTCTTATAACTATTAATTTTATATTTTTATTGTTTCTTATGATTATTTGTACTTAATCTTGTTCTTTTTTATTGTTATTGTTGATGATGATCGATTTAATTGTGCCAGGCTGAGAGTGTTACCTATGCATTAAGTCTGCGCTCCTGTCGGTAGTAGATGTTGGTGTTGAGCTCTTTGTTTTCTTATTTTTTGTGCTGTGTTTTTTAGGTGATATCCAGATCGGTATGATGGAGAAAAAGGGTCAGCTGGAGGTGGAGGTGATCAGAGCACGAGGACTTGTACAGAAGCCAGGATCCAAATCTCTCCCTGGTAAGCGCCCAACCTGACTGAAGCCGCCACAGACCAACTAATCCCTCCATCACTCACACACATGTTATTATAATCCAGTATATACACTCGACTCAAGCTCACCTGTTCTTTGCGTTCGTACAACCAGCCCTGAGAGCCGATAGTGTTCCCACTAATGGCTTTTTTTATTGCTCTGTTTCTGCCGTCAGCTCCATATGTCAAAGTCTATCTGCTGAATAATGGAGCGTACGTAGCCAAAAAGAAAACCAAGATTGCACGGAAAACACTTGACCCACTGTACCAGCAAGCACTGCTATTTGAGGAGAGCCCGCAGGGGAAAGTGTTACAGGTGAGCAGGAGATTTATTTCCCTTCATCACAAAGTTAAATGCTTCCCCCCCTCCTACTTCATGCTGACGGAAATCGAGCAGAGCAACATGACAACGTGAAATTATTTTTTCCTTCAGGTGATTGTATGGGGAGACTATGGCCGCATGGACCATAAAAGTTTCATGGGAGTTGCACAAATCTTATTGGAGGAGCTGGACTTATCAAGCACAGTCATCGGTTGGTACAAGCTGTTCCCACCATCCTCTCTGGTGGATCCGACACTTGCCTCCCTGACGCGACGAGCTTCTCAGTCGTCTCTTGACAGCTCGTCCGGACCGCCCGGGGTCCGATCTTAGTGGACAAACAGCTCTACACCACCGAGAAAAAACTAAAACTAAAACTCGGAGAGAAATGAAATACTAACGGCAGAACTGTAGAACAACAACAATCAGAAACACGAGAAAGCTTTGTTGAAATCTGACAATCACTCCTGCCGCGGTTAATTTTGTCTGTCGTAGGGAGCGTCGCATTTCAGTGTTTCATGTCCATTCGAGGAAAAGTCTCTGTGTTTTCTCTGTGTGTGCTGAAGAAGCCGTGCAGCAGCTGTCCAGACAGTACCAGAGAATCCAAACGAAGCAGGGTGGCTTTTAACCGAATCAACAATAGCAAAGAAATGTATGTAAAGCATCGGAATGTATGGACTCGAGACAAGAGGTAATCACCCTCCGCTCCTGCAGGCGGCGCTGCGCTCCCTGCAGTGGCCTCCTCCAGAACCCCAACAGACTGCTGGTATTCCCGTCCCCGCCGTGTGTGGGGGACGGGGTGCTCAGTCTGGAAGCACAGGGCCTTCTTCTGGTGCCTAGACCTCGGAGCCGCATTACTGGTCCCCCCCTCTCTGTGGAAAGATCCTCTTTTCAATATGTTTACCATGGCTGCTCTGAAGCCGCACCGTTTCAGCGTGTTTGCTTTGTTGTTCATTTCTTTCCCTTCGTTACTACTGGCACAAGATGTTTTTAAAAATGCTCATGATAATGTTGTCAGTCTGGTGTGTGCATGGAGAGTAAAAATAAAATACAAGAGATTAAAAAAAAAGAAGCTATTAAATGTCTGCAAGTGTTATGCAGGAAGAGGGCGGGGAACAGGTTAGATTTTTACATGTGAGATTAGCGTTGTTTTGCTGGCAAGCGTGCAGGCCAGTCGTCTTTGTATAGTTGTATATTAGGCCTCCCAGGAGGTTGACCAATAAGTAAAATTTATGTCACTTTGAAATATCACAAGGGTACAATGTCAATGTAAAAAAAAGAAAACGTAAATCTTTGTTCACCTATGTGAGAGCGAGACAGGGGCGTCTAATTTTTCACATTTTTTGGGAGGCACATTCCCTCCCTCCCGGCATGGTAAAGGTTTTTATCCAATCTTTAGTTCAACATTTTTTTCTTTTTAAATTTAAACACAAGCACAAGAGCTTGATTTTTTTACAACAAAAAGTTTAACGTTTTGAAGAAAAAAAATAATACATAGCTAAAAAAATCAAAAACAAAAAAAGGACAAAAAGCAGCAATCCTCCCGTCACCGGTTCTCTTCATCGTTTCGTCTCGACGTTCGGAGGCAAACAGAACAACAAATATTGTCACAGTTTTTTCCTCGTGCATCTCGGTGAATGTGGGCCAATCAGATTGATCCGTCGGGACGCCAACGCTCATCCTCCGTCCGGCCTGCAGGCTCCTCCCACCCAGAGGGGGGAGGGGCAGCATGACTTTGGAACCCGTTCCAAGCTGCATGCACATTTTTGTAAACAAACAAACAAAAAAAATCTAGATACGCGTGTTAGCTCCACATACTGTAGGGCCGCTTGTATGTTGCATGCAGTTGTACAGTTTGCTCGTACTTGAATATTAAAGAGATAAAACCAAGAAACTGAAGCCATTCCCATTACGCAAAGACATCCAAATCCACTGCAGTCCAGTCCACGTCCTTCAGTCCGGTGCTGAATATCTCTCAAACCGAATCCCAAGATTACATTGATGTCTCTGGAAGATGTACTGTACTGTACTGAGCAGACCTCGCAGCCCCTCTTACTGTTATTCCACATCATAGTATACCTCCGAGGGGCTGGGACGATGTATGAATAAATATGTACAAATCAGATCTATGAAAATATGAATTATGTTTCAACATAATGATTTCAGACGACACGGAGAATAAACTCAGATGCACAGAAAGTCGCACCCTGTAAATACTCAGCACTATTCCCGGGGTTTTCATTTGGTTCACTGAGAAAAGGGGCCAAGTCTTATAATAAGGAGCGATTAGTACTTTAGGTGACGAGGGGACCGTGCTGTGGGACGGCGATGGGTCTGAAAGTCCTCGTCTGAACACTTCTCTGTGCTTCGAACTCGGCGTCTGTGCCCGGCCCGCCATGCTCAGTCCCGCCTCACTCCAGATTTCTTTTCATTGTCCAGTGAAGCTGTTTTTTTCCTTATTTATTTAGGTTTTTTTTTCCTTGTCAGTATTAACAGGAGAAAAAATTGCTGATTGTTTACAACTTCTGTGTTCCACTGAAACAAGAAAATCAGAAAAAAGTAAAGCATTCACTGCAACATTTCTTGTTTGTATAACAGATGTGGCTCAAATGATGTGTATGTTTTATATATAAAAAAATTTCATTTTTATGATTTACAAATAAAAAAGAATGTGTGGAAAAAATACCAATGTTTTCCTTGAGTCTTTCTCATGCTTATTTTTTAATTTTCTGATTTGACATGATGTCAAAAGGCCAGGGTGCCTTGTTTGTGGGAAAGCTAATATTTATTCTCAGTCTGTGCATCTCTGAGCAGAGCAGCATTATTTTAGAGAGAGGGCCATCACTGTTCCCACCGTAGTAAATTTATTACAGTTCATAAAAACATATTTCAAGTGTTTTCATCAGTTCTAGATACAATATAAAAGAACAACATGTGCTTTCCCCCTTTTACTCAGTTGAGAAGGTGATGAGCTATCTGCTAACGCTAGCTAGTTTGGTTAGCAAATGCTAACCAACTCTATGGGTCTATTGCTGGACATACCCGCTAATTAGTGCTATGTACAGTAGCATGCACAACAAAATTCTAGACATCGTACTAACTTGTCTGTGCAGATAACAGCTTAGGAATCTAAACAGTAGTCAGACCATACTAGTAGCTCTTACAGCAATCAACATGGCCTACATGTCCAGTTCGGTGAGCTCAGTTAGCTGAGGTTAATCCTAGCAGACAGTTAGTGTCCTATCTGTTACTCAGACAAACACGTGGCTAATAAAGTTTAAACAGGTGAGTAATAGTAATATTACTTAATAATTATTAATATAGTAATATTTATACCTAAACAGTTCTCATTAAGGAATAAATTGATCAAGGAGTGGAAAATAATTTGCGTAGCAAGCAGTAAGCATGATAATTTTTGCTCTAAAGTTGGCTATTTCAACAAGGGAGTCTATGGAGAGTGACTCACTTTAGAAGTCAGTCTTGAGTGGCCACAAGAGAAACTGCAGTTTTTATCAATATGTGTTGCACTGATTATGTCGTCCTTATTTCCTTTTTTTTGTTATTTCGTGCTTTTGTTTGGGTCAAGAAGGGCATCCAATATAAAGTCTGCCAAATCAAACATGCGCTGGTAACCAGTGTGATGACGCCTTCTGGAAAGGGAGCAGCAACTATTTATAAAGCGCTATAACCTCAAACGACCAAGATATTTTAGCAAATAAAATACAGTTTGTGACCACATGATATACCAGAAAGATTTTCTAAAAGGTTCTTATGTAATGAGTTTTCAGTCTTTTTTTAATGCAAAAATCCCTAAAGTTGTGATGTTATTTAACCAGGTACTTAGTCTGGATGGCTTTACCTTGGCCTCGAGTGATCCTGTGAGGAACACCGGCGTAATTTCAGACCAAGATATGTTCTTCAGCACACACAGTATAGACATACATGTAAGGCTGCTTTCCTTCACCTAAGTGGTATTTTTCTAATTCAATACACCATTTCAATTCAATTCAGTTTTATTTATACAGCACCAAATCACAACAACAGCCGCCTCAAGGTGCTTTATATTGTAAGATAGACCCTAAAATAATACATACAGAGAAAAACCCAGCAATCCTATGACCTTCTATGAGCAAACACCTTGGCAACAGTGGGAAGGAAAAACTCCCTTTGAACAGGAAGAAACCTCCGGTAGAACCAGGCTCAGGGAGGGGCGGGGCCATCTGCCGTGACCGGTTGGGTTGAGAGAAGGAAGGCGGGACAAAAGACATGCTGTGAATAAAATTTTAACAATGAAATGTTGTTGTACAGTGGAACCTGTAAACAGACGGCTTCTGCAAAGTAAAGTCTCAAAGACCAGAGATGAGAGAACGGAGGACAATTAGGTTCTTAAGTGCTCTGTTTGTGAATAAAGTCACATGACAACCATGTGGTACTACATACAACACCATCACAGTCTTGCCACTGCGATCCATCTAACCAAAAAGGATCTGCTGTTTCTTATACAACACAGAGCTTGGGAGATTTATGCTCCACTTGTTGTTAAGTAACCACAGGATCCCCCAAAAACAACATCTGCAGGCAATCTACACTGACCCGCCCACCACCCTCGCCCTGGCAGCCGGGCCCCCAGGCTCCCTCTGTGCTGCAGCATCAGGGGTCATAACCTGCCTGTATAAAACATGGACACAGACCATCGTGGAAAAGACACATGTAGATCACACATGTCAGAGGCCACTATAAAATTTCCATGCTGCTCCCAGGAATAAGATTAATCTATCTAATAAAGTCAAAGGTCATGCATTGGTGGAAAAGAAACCATGAGTTCACGTGGAATACAAACATTTCAAACTTAACTTTTAATATCATCCATGAAGACGGGCTTCCCAAGTAAAATATTAAACAAACAAAACCTTTGGGAAAAGAAAGGCTCATGTGAGCCGAGCGATGCCGGGAAAAACAGTCTGAGAGTCTGTCGGCATGAGGTTCAGGACCCAGAAACCATCTCACATGATGAGATGACGTGAGACCAGTGATAGTTTGGGTTGTAAGTTTACCACTGCTTTCCCTCCAGCAAAACATGTTACAACTTATTTCTTCTCAAGTGGGATTAAAAAGGGTGCAGATTTTTATAAAAGAGAACACCAGCATAAAAGGATTATCCATTTCCAGCCTCGTATTTTTATTCTTGGACTCTATCAGAGTAGCTGTGTATGACCCACAGTTCAAAACAATGCTAATTTATCTCATTCTGGGTCTTGTTTCAGTGCCACATCCTCTGTCTGAAACAAGTTGTTAAAAGCCATCTTTCACTGCGCCTCCTAAAAGGAATTACAGCAGGGGGGTGGGGCTTTTGTGCTCACAGCAGAGTACTTTTACAATAACGTACTTCCTCTGAAATAGTCCATAAATAAATACATTTTGATGGAAGGGTTGAGACAATTGTTTTTTATTGTCCAAAAATACCTTTCTGTGAGTTTTAGGGACATCATACCACCATAAAGCAATTTGTAGCTTCTGCCGTTTTTATTTGAGGCATGAAGCGAGCAGCAGCTGAAATTTTATAGCTGCAGCGTTTTCAGTCACCACAGTCGCCTGCTCCTCTGCATGCATGGAGATACAGAAACACACATTAGCAGAATGCTAGTGTCTAATAAACTGTGGGATTTCTTTTTGTCCTGTTCAACACTCAGCTAGAGCGGAAGTTAGTTCCTATACAATGGGGTTAACAGGAAGTAGATTGGCTCTCCTCACAGCCAGAGATTTCCTAGAGCCAGAGATCAGTGATGACCAGATGAGGCACATTCACTCTCCAAATGTTTAGAGCAGTCTGAAGAATGCGCGGTGTTGCTCAAACCTATATATAGGTTTGAGCTATATATAGGTCTATACAGTCTATATATAGGTATATATATATATACCTAAATATAGACTGACCTCGTTATTTCAATTCAATTCAGTTTTATTTATACAGCACCAACATCACCTCAAGGCGCTTTATATTGTAAGGTAGACCCTACAATAATACACAAAGAGAAAAACCTAACAATCATATGACTCCTTATCTGCAAGAACTTTGGTGACAACGGGAAGGAAAAACGACCTTTTAACAGGAAGAAACCTCCAGCAAAACCAGGCTCAGGGAGGGGCGGGGCCGACAGGAACTTTGGATCTGTTTAATATAATCATCCACTATCATAATATATATGACAGGAAAAGGAAGGAAACATCACCTTTAAAAATAACTATTAAAGTGAAATCTAATGGAAATACTCTGTTGCTGCTTGTATGGCTGGTTTGACCTCCTGGTTCAGGAGCCAATGAGCAGACAATGGAAGGACATCAGCAAACAGTACACACCTGAGTAATTTGGGCCTCTCTCTATTTAAGTGGCTTCACTGGAAACAATAGTTTTGCATTTACTTGTGATTGCGTGGGTTTTTAGGCTGTGTGCTCTCATACTGATCTTTTAAGGTGATGTGTTTCTGGTTTTGAGCCTACAAACATGCATTTTCTCATCTTTAATCTTAGATTATGACCCTCCTAACACTAGTCCTTTCCTCTCTAAACTTTCTAGGTGCTTTCTTACTGCACAGTCTGACCATGTTAGGGTTTTGTCTGTTTCCAGCACTTCATTTTAGAGTTCACACGGCTATAATCAGGGTTTTGGAGTCATGTGAAATTGTCATACAATCTTTCCTTTGAGGGGTAGTTTGAGCCAGCCAGTTACACTGAGGTGTAACTGAACGTGGTTACACAGGTGTTACATTTGGCTTAAGTTATATTTCTGTTAACAAAATGGGAAAAAGTCAATCTGAAATGTACTCTTTTTTTTAAATTTATTTACAGTAGAGCATTTTTATTGCTTTGTTCAAACTGTGGCTGATGTAATACTCATACTTCTATCTAATCATGGGTCCAAAATATGCTGCAATATTCTTTAGATTTTGGCTTTGAAGTTGGAATTTAAAAATAAATAAATAAATAATTGTGGAGGAGGACTCTACTCATGTTTCCTATCACTGGTGGTCGGTACATTTCAGATCAACACATTTCATACAGAAACTGAGCTGCTATTAGGAAGCTCTGGAAATGAGTCACATAAACATAGTAATCAAGACATAGGATGAGTAATGAAAAAAGCTAAATGATGATGGGTTTTCATTATGACTGTGGTCAAAACCAGTAAAAGGCTCAAAACAAAGGTCTTTATTCCACTTTTTAATGCAACATTTAATTTAAAAAATCACCTATCAGTTAAAACTAAACATTTCAGGCTTTAAAAACATTGAGCCCTTAATTAAATTGGTTGTTCTAATTTAAACTAGTTTATATATGCCCACCCTTTGGGGTTTTTGTGCCAGGTAACATGAAGATGGGAACGGTAAGCTGAAACTCATCTGAGCAAACAGCTTCATGCGAAATTTATTTTTAAATGTCAAACTGAATGAGAACCAGAATCATTTGCAGCTCAAAATGAAGCCGTTTTCAGTGCCGCTTGTTTCATAATGCTTCATAATCATCATTCCCAGGACTGCACTCTTCTGATGTTGTGTCTGGAATCTGCTGGTGCCACTCTTCCATCAGTGAGAAAGACTGCCCGATGCACCAGTAGATGGAGTAGTTTTGTAGGAATACAGAGCAGAGTTGAGCTCTGAGGGTGATAAAGCAGCTCCTGCAGAATCAATGGATCAAAAACAGCAGAAGATGCACTTTGGTGCTCCCTGACCTTCTTAAATTGTGATGGGACTGACGCCTACCACTGGCACACACACACTCACACCTCATTCATATTGAGAAATTTCATTCAATTCAATTTTATTGACACAGCACCAAATCACAACAACACTCGCATCAAGGCGCTTTATATGGTAGGGTAGACCTTAGAATAATACATACAGAGAGAAACCCAACAATCATATGACCCCCTATGAGCAAGAACTTTGGCGACAGTGGGAGGAAAAATGACCTTTTAACAGGAAGAAACCTCCAGCAGAACCAGGCTCAGGGAGAGAACAACGTGGGAGACGGTCGCATCTGCTGCAACTGGTTGGGGTGACAGAGGAAGACAGAACAAAAGACATGCTGTGGAAGAGAGTCAGAGATTAACAACATTAACAACTAATGATTCAATGCAGAGAGGTGTAAAGAAGAATTACTGTTTGTATCATGGGAATCCCCGGCAGCCTACAGCTATTGCAGCATAACTAAGGGGGGATTTGGGAGTCACCTGATTCAGCCCTAACTATATGCTTTAGCAAAAAAGAAAGTTTTAAGCCTAATCTTATCACTAGAGATAGTGTCTGTCTTCCAAATCCGAACTGGAAGCTGGTTCCACAGAAGAGGGGCCTGAAAACTGAAGGCTCTGCCTCCCATTCTACTTTTAAATACTCTAGGAACAACAAGTAGGCCTGCAGAGCAAGAGCGAAGTGCTCTAATAGGGTGATACAGTAAGATGGGGCTTGATTATTCTTGTATGTGAGGAGCAAGATTTTGAATTCAAGTCTGGATTTAACAGGGAGCCAATAAATGGAAACCAATATAGGAGAAATATGCTCCCCCTTTCTATTCCCCGTTTCTCTCCTCTGTTTCCTGAGGGGGGGCTCTTCTTGGACTCACGGTGGGGCCAGCTTATAAGAATATTCAGCCTGTGTGACTGTGAACAGAAGAGGAAGTTCACACACGAGGCGTAACTGACGTGACATTTTCTAACCAAGGCAGTGTTCAGCGTGGCTGCAGTGACACAAAGGAAACAACAGGCCGGGTTGATTCCATTCAGCCTCAGGACCCCCGCAGTTTAGAATCGTCTCTGAGTTTATGTCGGGCTGTTATGTCAGTGCAGCACCGAGACAGATACACAACAGACGGCGTGACAGGTTCAAAATGCACTTCGGCCGAGAAATTATGCGTCTCTGGTGCCACGTGGTTGCGGTGACAGCAGGACAGCAGATGACAGAGCAGCTTTGAAAAGAAAAGGGTGACACTCAAAGGCTTTTACTGTGCCAGTGTGATCAGAGTGATCAGACAAACCATAAAAACGTGTAATAAAGAATCGTAATACTTTCTGCAGATGTTCACTGCGCCTTCCTCTGCGGTTACTTTTCCAGCACAGAAAGTGGAAAATTCTGCAGAACCCGTGTTACCTGATAGACTTTTAAAAAACCAACAACCGGGTGTAATTTTGAACTTCTTCAGGAAATCGAATTACACGAGGAGCGACGGTTCCTCATTTGCATGTCTGCTGTCCTGGCGCGCGAAGACAAAACAACTCAGAGTGGACGCTTCTTTCTTTAAACAGCATGTAAAAGTGAGACACAATCGCCACAGCGACGACAAAGTGTGATAAAGATCAAGCCGTCGCGCGAGGGCAGCTCTGATGCGCCTGTGCACGTGGACGCAGAGGCGTGCGTGGAAGCAACAGGCGGTGAAGCGAGAGACGTCTCTCCTCGTGACATCTGTAACTTGTGATTTTGGTGCGAGCCAGCACAGGACACGCGGCGTGGATACCTTCACGCGCGGGAGCTGTTGTGTAAACGCGGAGCGAGAAAGAGGGCGGTCAGAGGAGTGACGGCACACGGTGCGCCGCGCGCTGCTCTCACTCCCAGCTCGGCTTCTGGTGGGGTGCCCGTCGCACGTGCAGTTTGTTGTTCGTGCACGGCGGGACTACCGGCGTCGGGAGACGCATGCTTGAAAAGACCTGCGCTCACTTGACGCCCGCTTTGGTGATGCCATGCCCCGGAACCACAGCGGAGACGAAGGCGGCACCGGGCTCTGGATGAGGACCTCACCGGGGCACCGTACCGAAGGCTACGGCTTGAAGGATGTGGAGTCCGGCGGAAAGATGATGAACAACGCAGGAGACGGCTTGCTGTCGGCCCCCGGCGCCGCAGGTGCTGCCGGGTCCGACAACGCGAGGGGGAAGCAGGGAGCCCGGCTCAGCCTGCTGGGGAAGCCACTCTTATACAGCACCCAGAGCGGCCGGAGAAACGTGCGCTACCGGCGGCTTCAGAACTACCTGTACAACGTGCTGGAAAGACCGAGAGCCTGGGCGTTCATCTACCACGCGTTTGTGTAAGTTCACGTTATGATATGCGTGCGGAGTTGTGTGATGCGAGGATGCACACCTGTTGATGGTCCCTGCGGGAGGGTTTGCAGTTAGAAAGCTTGATTCAGTTTGGGGCACTTTTGATATGTGATGGCTGACATGCGCCAGATTCACAGCTTTTGCACATGAAGCAGCTTCAGTGTGAGACTAACAGGTCACTTTTGCGTTTATGAGTTTCATGTGTGCTGTTAAACCCGGATCTCAGGGTCCCGGCGGTTAGGACATCTTCAGCCGTGCTCTGCGCCTTTCTTCGCTTCTCAACCAGCTGTATTTAATTTCCCGCGTGCGATTGTTTGTTGTTGTGGCGTGATAACTGTTCCTGAGAGGGAGGAAGGAAGTCGAGACACATGCTGACTGCAAAGCACCATTTTTTTCTTTGGTGTGTGTGTGTGTGTGTGTGTGTGTGTGTACACTAAGGGGAGGGGTTGCAAAGGGAGGACAGAAGCTGTTTACACACAACGCAAACAGCTCAAGTGTTCACTTTTCTTTCTGAGTCATCATTAAAGCTACTCTTTCAAACTGCATTCTTCATGAGCACATAGGATTTTCCCTTGGTGTCGTGTGTAGGCTGTGGTCTGCGGTGGCACCTTTCATGTCGCATTCTTTTAAAAGAAATTACACTCGCTGACTGAAAACGGTTTTAAAATTTCCTAGACAGTGAAATCGAAATTTCATGTGTCGTGCGCGGTGATGGAAGGCAGAAATGGAAATCGGATCCTTTTCTCATTGCAGAGTTGGTCCTGTTAATAAATACTGTTCAGTTACAATACAGCAGCATGTTGGTTAAAGAGGACGCATTCTGCTCATTTCCAGCATCATGTTCTTGTTCCGAGGCTCAACTGGAGCTTCACATGATTCCCAGTTCAAAAAACCCAACTTATCTTTTGTTTAACTTTGCTTTTTCAGCTCCTCTCTGTTCAGCATATGCTGATCTATTGATGTGAAACTTTGGCCATATTTAATATGAGCATCCAGCACTGTAACTGTATACATGTGACAAAAAACAAGAAAAGAAAAGAGGGAAATGACATCAGGAAAGACGTTTTAAGTGGCGTATAGAGATGAAGCTCAACTGAAAATTTAAACCAAAAAAACAGATTTCCCATAATATTTATGAAGACAGGTCTGACACATCTGTAACTAAATGAGTTACAGATGTGCCTGAATGACATTTTTGGGTTTTATATATTTAAGTGTGTCTCTATCTTTTCATTTGATGTGCTGCCTCCTCTCACAGTGCTGCATGAATTAGCTGCCATTGTACTGGAGGAGCAAACAAAGAAGCTGTTGGCCTTGGACTCGTATGATCGACTGCGTGTGATGTTTATAACCACCTAACTAGTTGTAGAAAACATTCGGATATACGTTTTTAAAACCTCTGATTAGTCCAGTTCAGTTTTACTTAGAGCTGGTTCACAAAACCAGTCATCTCAAGGTGCTTTACTCTGTAAGGTAAAGCTCTTAATACCTAATACTAGAGAAAACCACAATGATCAGATAAGGAGATGAGCAGCGCTTGGAGGCTGTGGGGAAGAAGATCTCCATTTTAACAGGATGATGCTTCCAGCAGAACCAGGGTTAGGGAGGAGCAGCCATCTTCTCCATTTGATTGGCTTTTCTTTGTGTAGCTTTTTGGCGGTGCAGAGGTTAGAAGGATATGAGATTTGAACCACTGAGGCTATGGAGATGGACATGTGCACAGTCCAACAAAGACATTGCATCCGTCTTATCCACACGTCGAATACTGACGGGCTGAAGAGTTGGTTTGAACAGAAAAGGTAAAGATGACCGAGCCCACCACCAGGAGGCAGAACTGTGGAAAAAATGTCAGTGGTCAGAAAAAAGTACAATTTAAAGCACAAACTGTGATTTCAACAGACAGTTGTAAATGTTTTTGTCTTAAGAAGAAGACGTTCTTCGTATATTATGATCTGTTATCTCTCAGGCATGGGGCTCAGGTAAATGACCAGGAACAGCATTAAATTAACAAGAATGCTTATATTACAAGCTGTTCCACACATTTTTGACACTGCACCCTGGTGACTGTGTGCAGATACAATATGGGTTATTTGGCCTGCAAAGATCTGCCTTCTGACATGGAGTCGGCTGCACGTAAAAAATTAACATTACCAAAACTTTAAGATTGAGCCCGCAGAAGCATCTTGCTGTAACTGCATGTCTGTCTTTAGTTCACAGTGAACAGAAGCTCAGTTCCCTGGAAAAGCCTCCATATCTCTGCTGGCAACAATGCAAGTTTTGCTCTTTTAACACAGGAATTGTCTTGTGGAAATAAAGGTACGGAGGTCTTTGTTTCCACCCAGTAAAGTTGTCTCAGCATCACCTTTTCATTTTGATGCAAATCGAGCTAGCTGCAAGTTGAGCAGTTTGTCAGCTGTCCATTTAGTGCAGCTCGCACACGGTGAAAGAATCGCTCTGCAGACCACAGCTACAACTAGGGCCAAATTTAATTAAAAACCAAAATTGGTCAAAATTTGCAAAGGGCTGGATTTGGTGTGAACCTTGATTTTTGACACGGGGTTTGAATTATCATGCTTGTAGCTGGCTAACTAATGGGACAATAAGTTTTCTCAGTTTCTACAAAAGCTGTTTCTGAGCCACTGGCTCGTCTCACTCCGTACAAGTCTTGCTTCTTTTCCGTGGAGCAGCATCTGCTCCCTGCAGTGTTGGGTTAAAATTGGATAGTACAATCATCAACCAAAAGCTACAATAGCAGCTCTGTGTTACCTCAAAGATAAGCACTGTTAAGGCAGTTTGATGTTTACTAAAGTAGAATTCGACATAGAGACATGGATGGATTTACTAACCCCTGCAAGTGATTCCAGCTGATTTTCAACACTATATTTCTAAGCTTTAAATGTTTCTGTGACCTTTACTCCAACAAACCCTCCCATTCAGATTTGTTTGTATATTAACTAAAAGGCCTAAATTCAATGATTTGCTACAACCAAAATAGAGAATCTAGTGTTTGTGACCAGTCAGGGGTGTGCGTTTGTTTTACACCCTTTCATGTAAACTGCGTCATGGGCAACATTTTTTTTTCCAGGAACCAGAATTTTGATTTTTTTTTTCTAAAATCCAGATTTGAAACTTTTGAATTACACTTGCTCTATATTTATTTTTAGCATGAACGTGCCATCGCTTCAGCCCCAGTACTTTGAGCCATCCAGCTTTATGCTGACCTTCCGTATTCCCCTTTATTGGAGCCATAGCTTAGACGTACACCAGTCGATATGCTTTAGTTTGCTGTTTTTGTTAAAAGCTTGACTGAAAACTGCTAATTTACATATTTTATGAAAGTGAGTTAGTCACATACGCCCACAGGGATCTTCAGACTCCTCACATCGGCGCTCTAAAACATTAGGAACGCATGGTCGGGTGGCCTGGAAGTTACTGAATGCTTTTCTTTCATTCCTGCGGCATCAAGCTTGAACTGGAGATGTGGGAGGAGGAGGAGTGAACTCTCACTCGGCCCTTTGCTGTCTCTCCTGTACTGTGATGAATGGAGCTGTGATGGTTAGTGGCCTTGAAGTTATACTGGTCTGCTTATAGGACAGTTGTTGAAGCTGAGTGTGTCACCGTCACAGTTGTTATCTTTGAAATAAGATGACATCCATGTCCATATGATGTCAGACCTAACTGTGGTTCACCATTAAAAGCACTGCAAGCGTATTAATCAATCTTTCTTTAAATCACAGCTCAGGAATCGGAGCACTCACTGGCTGGTGTGTAGGGGAGAGTTGGCTCAATGGACAGGAAAACCTGAAATTAACTGAAATTGAAAGAAGCAGCAAGGTGATATTTTGCTTTGGGGTCCATTTCACATTCTCATAATCCAATTATTCGGTGAAACCGGTGGTTTAAATGTGTTTTAGTAACCCAATAAGTACCTAATTTGCAAAGAAAAGCCTTGCATGTTGGGCACCCTCAGAAGAAGGTGGTTAGTTTAAATGCAGGTTTTGCACACGGTGTACCCGATACACAAATGGTAGCACTGTGGGTTAGCTTGGTAATATTGTAAGAGTTTGATAATAAAGAGGTGATTTCTATCATGTAAGCAACAACCAGGTAATGGTCACGAGTATTATCTGAGTATTGTGTACTTGGGGCTGAACAGTTGGAAAACATTTAACGTGCCTTTTTCTGCTCATTTACCCCCATATTCCTTCTTCAACTCTGCTAGAATAGATTTGCATGGTTCACATTTCAAAGTCCTCACCTGCCTTAAAGTGGGCCTTGCTGCTGCCTTTAGTTCATCCCCTGTCTCTGAACTAAACCATTTAAGCTCCTCCCCTTTGAAAGGAAGGGTCCGTTTTAGCAGGCATTCATCTGACTGGCTGCCGTTCATACACAGGAGATTAGAATGAAAGGTGGGTGTGGTTTCTGTGCTCACATGCTTGCCATGATCATTAAGGGATATCCCCCCTCTCTGACGTCAGAGTCAAGAATAGAAACAAAACTGTCTGAAACTGAGAAAAAAAGTTATAGTACAATGTTAGGAATGAAAGTCCCAGTATGCTGTTAATAATGTGAAAGCAATGAGGTACTATCGATAATTGTATTATAGGTTAGCGTTAGACTAACATCATCAGAAACATGAAATAAAGTGATAACATAATCTAATCTTGGAATAAGTTCCAAGTATTATCCATTCATGGTTATTCTGAAATATAACCATGGCTGAAAAATTCTTTCTGTTTCTATTAAAATTCATTCCGGTCGTAGATTAAACCAAACGTTTGTGTGGAAACCCTTTGGAGGGTTTCTGCGAACTAATCACCAGACATGCAGACATGTTCACATGATACTCGACACCAGAATGGTCCCTGAGGCAAGCAGCAAATTTGCATAATCTCAGTTAAGAACAGGGTGTTTTTCCGCCTGCTGTGCTGCTTTGTGATGTGAAATAAAAAGACAACCAAGACAGACATATATATTGTTAAACTCC